TATAGGAGAAGTTTGCTGCTGAGTTGTAACAGCAAGGAGAAAAACTTGCTGAGTTAGGTAATAGGTTATAAATAGCAGATTGTAACCTAGGGCTTAGGAGATACACATAATGTAACATTAGAAGGTGTTTTTAGGTAAACCTGTCGGTCTGTGGCAAGGTTACCATGTATGTAACTCGAAACCTGTAGGTAAGAGTTTGAGTGTTCTTGGATGAAGCTGTGAAGCAAGTCTAAGTATTTCTGCATTACTCCATATTCATTGTAATGTAGGAAACCAAGTGGGAGGGCACTGCTTCTTGAGTAGGAGTAAGACTTCTGTTGTTGCGACAATAGGAATGGAAACTGGTAGGTTTCTATCTAGGAGTTCCTAGGTATAGGTTGCACTGGGTAGATGATTAAGTGAAGGATGGGAACTTGTGAAGTTTAGTCCTGAATTAATATTGCTAATAGTGGATCTTCTTCCTGGCTTGGTATGCCCCCAGAGTAGGTGTATTACACCGAACTGGGTCAACAACTGATTTGTGTTTTTACCTTCAATACTTTATAATTCTGTCTGTTATACAACAAGGTAAAACTGTAATGTTGAAACAGATGATGTCTCAAAACATGTTAAGACATCATGCTGATATCTGTGCAGGAGAAACAGAACTGTGAAGGTTGCTTGCTCTCTGTTGATCATGGACAGAACTAGGTACATCGTGTGATCTATCCTCTGCACCTTCAAAGTGTATCTGGTACAGCTTGAATAAAACTGTGTGAATGTTACAGATGATGTCAAAAGAGATGAATGGATATCCTGCTGGTTTGTGTGCATGATAAACAGAACTAAGGGGTTTGTTTGCTTCATGGTATGTGATAGATGATGTTGCAACCAATGTTGAGACATCAGGCTATGAATGGATAGTTTACAAACCAAAGCTATTTGTTCGAGAACTGCAGATATGGCAACCTCTATGCTTCTGTTATACTGAATCACAAAAATTGGGTATCTACCTTGCAGTGTATGTATTATGTCATATCAGATGTCTAGACATTGAGTATAACATCTGAAGACTGGCATACACCAGAATTTCAGAAGGTGTCCATCTCATTCAAGATCAAGGTATTTTCTATTCATAGTAGATGACTATTCCAGAAAGTTATGGATATTCATCCAGAAGACTAAGGATGAAACTTTTGAGAATTTCAAAAGTTGAAAGACTCTGGTCGAAAATCAAACTGGAAGAAAAGGTCAAGAGGTTGAGAACATACAATGGCCTTAAATTTTTTAATGAGGCTTTCGACAGCTTTTGTGTGGCCTCTGGTATTGCAAGGCACAAAACTACTGCAGGTACTCCACAACAAAATTATTTGGCTGAAAGGTTTAATCGAACCATCTTGGAAACAGTTAGATGCGTACTGACTAGTGCTGGGTTAAAGAAGGTGTTTTGGGCTGAGGCTGTTTCTATAGCAACATATCTGATAAACAGATGTCCTTCGACCGCGTTAGATATGAAGACACTTGAAGAAGTTGGTCGGGACATCCACCAGATCTCGATAAACTGAGAGTATTTGGTTGTATAGCCTATGCTCATATTAGACAAGACAAGGTCGAACCTAGAGCTCTGAAATGCATGCTCATGGCATACCTTGAAGGAGTCAAAGCTTATAGGCTATGGTGCCTTAAGCCAGGTCACAGGAGGATTATCACCAGTCGAGATGTATTTTCAATGTAGCTGAAATGGCTTTAAAGAAAACTGATGATGTTGATCGAAGTGCAGAAATATCTGACGAAGAGTTGGAATAGGGAGAGATTCCTGTTGAGGTGGAGCATGTTGATGTTGAATTGTGTATCCCAAATAAAGTCGAAGAAGAAGCAGGAGATGCTAAGGAAGTTGAGGAAACTGTCGATGACTACCTATTGGTAAGAGATATGACGAGAAGAGTCATCAAGCCACCTCAGAGATTTGGGTATGCAGATCTGATAACTTATGCCTTAATCTCTTCAAAGGAGGTTCTAGACGTAGAACCCAGAGACCATAAGGAAGCTATGAGGAGTCGAAGTAAGACTAAATGGTTAAGGGCCGTGGATGATGAGATGTATGCAGTTGATAAAGCTACATGAAGAAAGCTAGTTTGTTCTCTGATGATTGAGTTTGTTCTAAGGTGGTGATTTGTGAGATATTGGATCGAATTCTATTGGATTGAAGAGTAGTTTCTGGTTCGACAGGATTTATGCATACCGTCGAAGTATGTTCACATGTTGGTGCCGAAGACCTATATACTTTAGTCGAAGTGTGTGGGTTGTTAGTATTTCGAATTGGGTATGTTTGTTATGTCCAATTGTTTAAGTTAGCTTGTATCCTAAGTTAGATTGTAATGGGTATTTGGGAAAAAAATCCATTAGCTTAGTATGTTAGGTTTATTATAAATAGCATACTCGTCTCTCATCATTGTATACTGCAAATCCTAATTTAGAGTGAGAGGGTTATTTGTTATTCTTGTGTACTTGTAATCTTGTTTGAAGAGAAAGTAAAAAATAACAGTTTATAACCAATCCTTGTTGTTCTTCATGTTTTTCATTCTTTTCTATCCTTGTGGGTTTCTTGCCTTGAAGAATTATATTATATTTTGTTTCAAAGGTATCGTGTTTCACAACAGTATGTATATTTTTGCACACAGTGATGTCAATTTCTTCTATTTTGTAAGTTTTTCTATAAGATTTCAATAGTTTTTCAGTAATTTCTTTGGAAATGATATGCCTTTTTCAGTATTTTTCCAGTAGTTTAGAAATTGACTCCAACGGTGACTCAAGTCCACGACAATTGCAATAGTTATAGCTTCAATTTGTAACAGTCCATGAAAATTGAAGAGAACCCTCAAACGACGTCAAACGCTAAGTCTCTTTCAATCTCCATAAAGAAGTTCATTTCTGCAAATTTAATATTGTTAAAATTTATTGGCATGCATCCCGGGATCAATTTTTCTTTAAATGCATATCAGAATTCATAATATTTCTCATTCATCCATGATCATATTGATCCATGCATGTGTTATTGGTTCTAGATTTCTCTCCCCACTAACTATTCTTAATTTGACTTTTAAGTTCACATATCTTCCAACGGTGGCACAAAATGAGGGAAAGTATAGATTGGGAATAGACTATTAAGAATATTATTTTTGATTTTAGAGCTTTCAGCATTTTCATTTAAATGAATGAGCTTAGGAGATGTAATTTTCTTTCAGCATCTTTCATTATTGAGTTGATTTGATCACAAGACCCCATCTCTCTATGGACTTCATCTTTGATGGAGTTAGTTTAGCTTATTAATTTAGCTTATGGAAAACAGAAATTAATTGGTAGCAGAGATGCCACTCAAGTTTTGTTATCTCACCCTTGAAGGTCAGGAGTGGCAAATAATCATTGGAAGTGATCCGAGAACACTTACTGAATATCTGATTTTCCTCTGCTTATGTTTTACTGTTATATTATTTTTCAAGACATGATCTTCTAGGTAGAAGCATTTTCGGATATCTTCCTTGTGTTGTTGCAGGTGATTCTTTGTATGGTGAATGTCAAACTAAGTACATATTTGTATGATGAATGTCAAATTTATTATATTTTATTTTCAATAGATTATAGATGCTTCTAGTGCCTTAAACAAGACAAATTCTCAAAGTTCATACATTGATGAAGATGGAAGAGTTGAAGATTAGAAACTGCTTTTATCTTAGATATGTTTGTGTTTTTTTGTTGTCGTAGCATCTATTTTGGTGATAGTTGTTATTATATAATTGATATTATTTTGATATGTTTGTAAGACGTGTTATTTTTGTAAAATCAAGCTTCTCAAATGAACTTTTGTTTTGATGAAGACAAAGCATAATTGACAACAAGAAGCGTTTGATTTCCGTGAAACATTCTCACTTGTGGTCAAGTTACCGCGATTCTGACTAACCAAATGACTCAGGTGTTCGAAGATCCATGTCCAGAACTTGTATATACTTTGGTCCTATTTTCGTTGCATGAAGCTCAAAGAAACAATCACTTGTAGCTCATTCCAGTACGGAAGCAGAGTATCGTGTCCTAGCTCATAAACCTTCAGAATTGTTGTGGATTGAATCAGTATATACATAGCTTCATCTTGACTATCTCACTCTGACTTTGCTTTGTGACAATTTAAGTGTTGTCTTACTATTTTATAAATGAGTTCTACATACAAGAACCAAGCATATAAAACTCGATATTCAATTTGTTCGAGAATGTATAATTGCAAGGAAGCTGAATATCCAACATGCGCCTGGCCTGGCCACACGTAAATTGCATATGTATTAACTAAGCCTTTTTCTACTGCATTATTTACATAATTTCAAACCAAACTCAAGGTTATACACTTACATTCCCTTTGAGTTTGAGGAGGGAGTATTAAAGAATATCTTAGGCAAGGTAGTTATAGTGACTTACACTAACTCTAACCATCTATAAAAAGTTAGTTAGATGAGTGCAAAGTTGGTTAGAATGAGAATCCATAAATGTTTTACTATATATACCAAGCATTTTATCAATGTAATGATTAACCAATGATAAACTCAACTCAATGCATGAAAATCATGCTTTCTCCTTTAATTTTTAGAAAAGTGATTATTTATTCCATATATATTTTTAAAAGCTAGGTAGAACACCTCTTTTTTTGTTTGGCTAACTATTTATGTATTATAAAATATTAAAAAAAAATCAATTTGATGTTAATTTAACTAGTAATAGTCTTGGGGTCGAAAGAGTCAAAGAAGTTGCGTAGCAAAATTGAAGTTATGAGTGCCAACCACTTTGAAAAATGGTAGAATGTGATGATGATTTGATAATGACTTGTGTGATTTTATGAACAAAATGTCTGTTTTATCCCTTCAAAATGTTGGAGTTTGATTATGACTTGCTGATGTGATAGTAATCCCTGCTTAAGTAAATTAAACATACTTTATAAAAAAAATTGACTTTATAAAAAGAACAAAAATTAGACATACCTGAAAACATTTTTTTTGGATTTCCCAATCTTAAATAGATGCAAATAAAAATGAGTATCAAAACCACACTAAGAGCTGGCACTGCAATGGAGGTGATGACAATTCGTATTTTGCTCTGCCCTGCATAAATAGTACGAGTATAATTGTTATTCATGAATATATTTTTCGTTTTTAAGTGAATTATATAGAATGATAATTTTTTTCTTCTTATTTTTACTTGAAGAGTTTGTTTAATATTCATGTTATATTGACATTAAAATTTGACATCAATACTTATATTATACACTGTTTGAAATCTTTTTTAATATAGTAAAAATCATATATAATAAAAATATTTATTTATTTTTAAATATTTTCTAATACAAATATAAATATAAATATGTATTGTTAATGAATTCCATCATTACATTAACAATAAAAATATATTTTACTAACCATTTATTTAATTTTAATTTACTATAACAACTTTTATTACTTTACTATTTAATCAAATATATAATATTAATTATTTTTAAACATTAAATTAAAAAATATATTAATCAATCTTTACTATTTATTAACAAACTTTATTTTAATTTAGTTTTTTTTGTTTTTGAAAATTCATTAATTAAATTATGAGTTGTATCAAATAATCTTATACATATTGAAATATTAAATTAAATTTGTTAAAATATTATATTATATTTGATTAGATTTAATATTTAAATATAATTTAAATTGTGTAGACTCAAACTCAATTGAGATTGTATATAAATAGTCATATTGAACTATTCTTAATTTCTTTCTCAAATTCAGGAATTTGTCTCTTCAATTTTTTAGTAAAGATGTCGGCCAACTGTGTTTCACTTGAGCGATGCCTAACTTCAAATTCACCTTAATTTACCTTTCTTCTCAAGAAGTGAAACCTTACTTCAATATGTTTACTTCTTCCATGCAGAACTGAATTCTTCGTCAAATTTATGGCTGACTTGTTGTCAATTTGCAATACAAGATGTTTCTTCACTTCGACCTTCATTTCTTCAAGTACCGGTCTGATCCAAATTGCTTGACATGCAGTATAAGATCTTGCTATATATTCAGCTTCACAAGATGATAATGCCACCACAAGTTGCTTCTTCGAATACCATGAGATTGGGGCACCAAAAACTTGAAAGAAATATCCAGTTGTGCTTCTTCGATCTTCCTTATCTCCACACCAATCAGCATCTGGAAAACAATTAACTATTGTTTCTTTGTCTTCAGAATCTCATTGAAATAGTATTCCACAGTTTATCGAACCCTTCAAATATCTCAAGATTCTTCTTGCAGCCTTCATATGTGACACTTTTGGTTCACTCATATATCTGCTTACTAATCCGACAGCAAAATTTATATCAGGTCAACTGTTGCACACATACCTCAGAGATCCCACAATTTACTTGAACAAAGTTACATCGACTTTGTCTTTCTCTCCATTCTTCTCCAATTTTACATTTGGTTCGACAGGTGAGGATGCAGGATTCGAATAATCCATTCTGAATCTCTTGAGTATTTCTTTGACATATTGATGTAGCAATATACCTTACTTCGACATTTGAAATTCCATACCTAAGAAATAAGATAATTTTCCCAGATCGGACATTTCAAATTCCTTCATCATCAGCTATTTGAACTTCGACAAGTTCTACAAGTTATTTCCAATTACTAGCAAGTCATCGACATATAAGCAGATGATTGCTATATCTTGTGCTATAACATGAACATAGACACCATACTCAGATTTTTATTTGACAAATCCCAATTCGACTAAGTATGAGTCTCTTCTTGTTCCATACCCTATGTGCCTGCTTGAGGCCATAGAGCGCTTTGTGCAATCTATATACTTTACTCGCTTCCTTCTGAATCACAAACCCAGGAGGTTGTGACATAGACCTCTTTGTCTAAAGGACCATTCAGAAATGTTGATTTCATATCTAAATGAAATATCGACCAGCCTTGTTTGCATGCCAATGCTATCACTAGTCGAATAATTGCCAATCTTGCTACTGGAGCAAATACTTCAGAGTAGTTGAGTCATTCTCTTCGAAGAAACCCTCGAGCTACTAATCTTGATTTTTGTCTTGCTATCGAACCATCAGCATTATGTTTCAACTTGAACACCCACTTTACTCCGATAGCTTTTGTATGTGCTGCCAATTCGACTAACTCCCATGTGTCATTTCTTTTGATTGTTTGTAACTCTTCGACCATAGCTAACTTCCATTGTTTAGTCTTCAAAGCTTCGTTATAGTTAATTGGTTTAGCACCTGCAAGTAAAGCAAAATGAATTAATTCTCCATCTGGTGTGACTTCATCGTTACCCACCACTTCCTAATCATGAAGTCTTGTTGGAAGAACTCTATTTCTTTAAGGTCTTTAGCTTATTTCAGCCACATCCTCTTTGACTTTGACTGTGTCGGGAATGTCAACAATTGCTTCTTCTTTGACTTCGACTTCATCAGTTTTTTCGTCAAAACCATAGCTCATCGGTGGCTTGTTAATTGCATCATTTGAATTCCAATCCCAAGCAGAATTTTCATCAATCACAATATCTCTACTCAACACAATTTTCCTATTAATTGGATTGAATAGCCTGTAAGCACCAATTTTATGATATTCTACCAGAATCATAGGTTCACTTTTATCATCAAGCTTCATTTTTCTCGCATCAGGAATATGCTTGTAACACATAGAGTCAAACACCTTCAAAAGACTTACTGATGGTTGTTTTCCACTCCATACTTCTTCAGGAACTTTGTTCTTCAATATCTTAGTAGGACACATATTCAAAATATAAACTACAGTTGAAATAGCTTCTCCTCATAAAGACTTTGGAAAATTCTTTTGCTTCAGCATGTTTCTCGCCATATCTAATATGGTTATGTTTCTTCTTTCAACAATTCCATTATGTTGAGGTGTATAAGAAGCAGTTACCCCATGATCAACACCATGTTCTTCACAGAAATCTTCAAACATCTTGGATGTGTATTCGTCATCTCCATCTTGGATCTTCTTCTCACTCTGGTTTTCGACAAGTGTCTTGAATCTCTTAAAGATTTCAAATACTTCGTCCTTTCGTTTGATCACTAGATCCACGGCTTTCAACTGAACTCATCGATAAACGAAACAAAATATATGTTTTCACCAATGGTATGTTTTTCTAATGGACCACATACATCTGAATGCACCACTTCGAGAATGCATGATGATCTCATTGGCATAGTCGAAACGAAATAATTTCTTGACTGCTTTCCTACTAAACAACCTTCACAAAGTTTTTCAGGCATCTCAAGACTTGGAATTTCAGTAACCATATCTTGAGTAATAAGTTGATTGAGTGATTGAAAATTCAAATGTTCAAACCTCAAATGCCACAATCAATTACCCTTGTGGTCAACAACAGTTTTTAAACATTGAACTTCTGTCGAACTGATCATAGTCTTAAATGTCATGTTCTTCGACAACAGAGATTTTAAGATCAAATTGTTCTTAGTGTCGAACAACTTCAAAGCTCCATCTTTCATAACAATTGAGAATCCTTTTTCGACCAGTTGTCTAACACTTAGCAAGTTGCACTTCATTCCAGGTATATATAGCACATCTTTAATCATAGTTTTTACTTCATTACTCATTTGAAAAATTATGTTGTCAGTACCTTCTGCACACAACAAACTATTATCAGCAAGTTTTACCTTGCTCTTCTTCGACTCGTCGTAGTCTGTCAACCACTCCTTTCGACCAGTCATGTGATTCGAGCAGCCTGAGTCGAGGAACCAGATCTTGGATTCGACGTGGTTATCTGCAACTGCAAACATAACCATCATACCTCCTTCAGAATCATCTGAATCTTTGCGTGCAAGGTTCGCTCCTTCGTCTTTGTCTTTTGTTGATCAATTGTTTTTCCTGTACCAACAATGTTTAGCCAAGTGTCTCCACTTTTCACAATTATAACACTTCATACCTTTCTTATCTTCTTTGTCCTTTTGATAGTTTCATCCTTCCCTTTTCGAGAATTCAGAAGATTTATCTTCAACTTTATTCTTGCGGGGATTCGATCAAGACTTCTTGTCTTGAGTTTTGTCAAACTTGCCTTTGAATTTGTTGGAACCACCATCCTTTTTTCATGACTGAGCTTGCAGAGCCTGTATCGAGTCTTGCACTCCCTTCCTTTCGACAATTCTCATGTTGTTGCCCAAGAAGAGGTAACAGCGATACAAGTGTATGTGGGGGGTATTGTGGACTCACACTTGAGAAAAGTGTTAGAATTATAATGCAAATGTGAGTAAATGGAGAAATAGTCTCACATTGAATAGAAATATAGCGACTTGAGAATATATAAGTGGGAGAACTCACTCACCTATCACTTTAAGGTTTTAGGTGGACAAGTAGAATATCTCTCATAAAAATGTATATATCTAATTAATCAATTGTTTTGCCTTATAAGACAATTTTAATGTCAAAACACATATTAATTAAATTATATACTATATTAATCAAATTTTCATTCACAATTATCAAAGTTGTATCGGAGGAAAAATATATAGAAAATTCAAAATTAAGAATCGCATTTGTGAAGAATAATATGATATAGATGTAAGAATAGGTGTTAAAATAACATTTTTCTTTAATATTTAATTAACCATTCTATCTGTAACATGTAGATGTAGTAACATTTATCATGGTTCTGGTTGGATGGATGAGATGGGGCCCTCTTATCTGTTGAAATGAGTGATTGGTGTTGGTCATCGAACAATAAATGTATGTGTTTTATTTTAATTTTAATATTTAAAATAAAACTTTTACAAAATCATTATATATGCAAGATTGCATTTCAATTCGTAAAAAATTGTAATATAGCGTTATTAAGAAGAAAAAAACTATTTAAAATACATAAACCTTACAATTGATTAAGTACCTGAAGAAGAACTGTTATTTGTAGATGGTGAAGTGTTATTGGTGAATACTGACGGTGGCTGTAGCGACGGTGAAGGAGGCGTTGCATTAAAATCCAACACAATCGTGGAATTATAGAACCGATAAGGATCAAATCTAATCCGACAACTTGGTTTAAGAATATTTCCTCCCATCTTCCCGTTACAACAAACCGGAATTTCAGAAACCGCTGCTTCCAAACAATCATAGCATTGTTGCGAAGATAAATCCGGCATACACAACACATAACTATATATAGTTACGAAATTTTTAGGCTCATAAACATTATCAGCGTCATACTTACGTCTAGAGTCACCTGACGCAGCTTTGTCAGTTAGATTTGTCATCAAGTTACTCAATGCTTCGTTGTATGCATCCACATCACTAACATCTATTTCATATATTAGAAACGTTGTAGGTGAAGTTTCTACTATTCCGAAAATTGAACGGTTTGAGTACCATAGAGTGAATTCACCACCCCATACAATTGCTTCTTTTTGATTTGGACATTGTTGTTTGAGATAGGTGAAGGAGTTGTTTATGTTTGTGAGACACTTGTTTGGTTCGAGATCTCCGCGACATAATCCTATGGCGTATGCTTTGTCGGGATCTTGGCCGTAAGAGAAATTGTAGAAACCGTAGTTGATTTGTTTGTGCGAAGAGAAAGTGGATATAAGGGTTTTAAGGTTGTTGTCGTAGATGCTATTGGCTGTGTAGTTGCCTCTGTTGTTATCACATGATACAGGATCTCCAGCTTTGGCTTCGGATAGAATTATAACAAACACACAACAAAGAAAGGAAAAGGAAAGCATCGCCATTGAAAAAAAATGTGAACTAGCAAATTGAAGAGGAAAGAAATGAAGGAAGTACTGTGTCATGTAAAGGTGACGTGTTAGACTCTTGAGTTGAGTTGACTGACTATGACTTTGAACATCAAAGTTAATGGGGAGATGACGTGTATAGTGTGGTAGTATATGAACCAATTAGCAAGGTAACGCGGCTAAACAGTACCCCCACCATGAAAAGGAAAAGTGCTTTTGTTATTATTTTCTTTTTCTATGAGCCCTTGTACTCAAGACTTTTTGCGTAGACATTGTAATATTGATCAAGTATTATTTTCACCAAAAATTAAATTCAATATTCTTTTAATTTGTTGTGAAAAACGATATTAAGAATTAAGTTGTTGGCTAGGATTTTTCACATAGATTAAAATTCAACCAAAAATTAAAAAAGTTCTTTGAGAACTTTGAATTATGAGAAGCCAATTAGGTTTGCGGACGCAATCAACCAGAAAAAAGGCCTCATCATGAGGAATGAATTGGGCCCAGGAACGTTAAAAAGCCTAAAGAGTGCATAACTAGCAAAGTAAAATATTATGAATGGAGAACGTGGGTTCGATAGCAGGAATGAAGAACGTGGGATCATGGAGAAAAGTTACAAGAGACATGTGGCGTACAAGGAAGCGAAGCCCGCCAGAAAGTAGTTAGTTTCATGTGTTATAAATAAAGCACTTAGTGCATAATGTAAAAAGTTCAAACTTTCACATTCCTATACGCTAGTCACTCATAGTACCCAAGCGAACGAGCGAAATGAGTCAAGTTAGGGCAATGTACGTTTGAATCAACTTATTTTCAATTATTTTGATGTTATGTCATTTATATTTACAGTTTAAAACATCTTTTGTTCTATTTTACAAGTCTTGCTTTATTGCTTATAAACTCGTTTGGCACTAGTCGAACGAATCTTTTGAACATACTTTGTGAAAACACTCAAAAATTGAAGCACTGTACTGAGATTCCCTGGTCGATCTCGCCAGTAAACTTTATGTTAAGAGACCAACGTTGTTTACTAAAACTAGAGGTAAACAAATTGGCACGTCTAGGGGGATAGTGCTAATAATTTCCTATTTGTGTTTGGTTTTGCAAAGTTTCTTGTAGTTTAGTTGGTGTGTGTATGAATTTAAGAAGTGGTAAACATTTGTCGAAGTCTAAAATGCCACGCTCTGACACAAATACTGCACATACATAGATTTCCACAAAATATGAATGTCATACCAGTGAGTGCCATAACTCAAAGCACAACGTTTTTATCTCCTGTGAGATCAACCGTTGTTCATGGTTCAGTGACAACAGTCACGATGACAGAACCTAGGCATGTGATATCACCATTTGACCCAAATCGACCACTCTTTCTAGGGGGTCCAGGGTCATCATTTGTACCTTATCAATATGGTATGTCTTATTCCATGATGGTTGGGTTATAGTTGAGCTTGTCCACATATACAGAAAATACATTGGCCACTAGAAACCAAGGAAGTTATGTCCCAGTGGTCGACCAGGTGGTGTTGGTTATATTCCTCAATTGACACCATATTTGAATACTACTTCTGTCATGGCTTTAAGACAACAGATGGATGAGAGTAATTTAGAGTTAGTAAATGTCTTAACTCAGCAAATGGGGGTTGCTCTCAATCTCGTAGTTGACTAAATAGGAAGATTGATCGATTCATTAGGGATCCAACCAACGCAAATGCGCCACAGACCATTAAGTGTAACGTCCGTAATTTAATTAATTATTTAATTAAATTATTTTTGGATTATTTGTGAAGTTGTGTTATGATGATAGTTGATGTGTTATTGTTATTGGATTTATTTATTCTATTAAGTTGTGGAATAATATTAGAATAATAATATTATTTGATGTGAGCTTATTTTAAGGACTAGAAGTAGTAGAAAGGGGGTGTAGGAGTTTTAAGCCCATTAAGGCATAAAGAGAATTATAGGGTTATTATATTAGTTTTTAGAATTAATATGAAAAAGAAGAAGCAGTAAGAAGAGAAGAAATAAGGGTTGGAGGAGAACGTGAAAGTTGCAGAAAAGAAGGAAAAGAGGCAGAACTGAATTCAACCGGAAAAGTCATAGAGCAACCTTCAATTCAAGGTAAGGGCGGGGTTCTGACTCTATAATAGGGTTTATGATGAGTAGTATGTGGGATTAGATGTGAAAAGTTGTCTTGTTTATGATTTGAATGTATATGTTGTTGTATGATGAAGATCAATGATTTAGAGATGAGTAATGATGCCCAATTGTTGTATAATCGCTGTAGAAATATAGGATAATTATAATTGATGATTACCTATGATTAGAGGATGTTTTTAGGGCCTAAGGCAGGGAAACCGTAGTGAAAACGCATGAAATCGCAGAAAATATCCATGACAGAACAGTATGCGTCGACCGCAAAAGTCATGCGTCGATACATGCAGGTTTTTTGGACTCAGGATGAGTCGATACGAAGAAGCATGCGTCGATACATGCGGTGTTGCAGACTCAGTATGAGTCGATACAAAAGGATTACGCGTCGACTCATGCAGGATTTTAGCCTAGTACGCACCGACTCAAAACATCATGCGTCGACTCATGTAGTCTGATTTTTGGTAGATTTGTTTCTGAAGGCTGTAACTTGAGTTTCCGGACTCCGTTTGAGGTGTCTTTTGAAGCGTTGGATAGCTAATGCGATGAACTTCATTCTTATGGATTAAAACGAAGGATAAGAAAAATAATCCTAGTAACCCAAATTAGGATTAGAGTTAACTTCCCGCGTTAAGCGCTGTTGTAGCTCAAAATTTGCTCTCTCATTTATCAAGTATTTTCTCAATAGATCTCATTTGGTTCAAGACTGCACAAGGGTTGATCAGCTCAAGACACCTCCTTAAGCAGTGATGACTGAAATTAAGGTTTGAGATTGGACAAGGATAATTGAACTTTTAATACCTCATATGACTTTCATGGATCATTATGGACCCCCAAGATTGCTCATGTCAAGTTTCAAGTCGGATCACATTTTTGCTCAGTCAATTGATCAGTTGACCTAAAAATCAGTTGTATTGGGGAAAAAGTCAACTATGGCCAATTTATAGTCAAACTTTATAATTTTTTATCCATATCAACATTGTGAACTCCTATATGTCATTTGATCAAGTTTTGACCATAATTCCTCAAGAAATTTGATTAGATCATCAAAAGGGCAAAATGGTCAAAATTAGGGTTTTGACTGAGAAAGGGCAATTTCTGATTTTTGACCTAGTAAATGGTTAATTGGTTTGAGACATGATCTCAAGATTTCAATTGCATCATTTTGACCTAATGTTATGACTCAAAACATTGCTCAAGGTCATTTGATTGATAGTTGATTTTTCAGTCAACTGATTAAAAGTCAACTATACACTGAAAAGTCAAACTTTGACTTTTTGATCAAAATCAAGTGTCAAAGATCACAATTCATCAAAACATGTCAAAATATGAAATTTGTTCATCAAGAAATCAAAAGGTCAAGATTTCATTTTGAAACGTCAAAGTTTACAAACTTAGAAATTTTTCTAAGTGTTGAAAACTTCATATTTTTTCACAACTTTGAGCCAATTTTTCACCATGATGCAAGATGATTTAAAAGAAACTTCAAACATGAAAGTTGTATATCTCCATGAGACCTAAAACATTTATTTTCACAACTTCTCCTAGAAATTCTTGGATCTCAAGTTATTAATCCATGAAGTCATGGTCATGAAACTAAAACACTTAGTGAAATTTTGAGCATTTTGGTCAGGATTTTGACCTAACTTCTGACTCAAGTTTCACATAGTTCCATTTTGATTTTGCAAAAGTGATTCAAATAGGGGTTGTAGAGCACATTACAAGCTTTACAAAATGTCCAAGAACTCATTGAGATCATTTGTGAGCAAGGAGAATCGAAGGCAAGAAGTTAGGGTTTCAAGTTGTTTTGCAAGGCAAAATTTGTGATGCAACATGAACTAAATCCATAGCCATGCTGCATAATCTTCACTTTTCAGGCCTCAAACTTGTTTGTCACTACTTAATTTAATGTTTACACAACTGATTGATCTATTATCCAATTGATTCAAGCATTGTCCAAAGCATTTTGCCATTTAGGGAGAAAGTCACAATTTCCATTCTTGTAAAGCAAGCTTTACGCACAAAGTCAGCTTCTTGAGATCCTAACTTGTTCTAATTAAGTACATTCAATCTACAAAGTCATAAGCAAGTGTTTAAAACATAACCACTCCTTCTTAGCAAGTACACAAGACTTTGAAACTTGGATTTCTCAAAAAATCACATGTTATGCTTAAACTTGTGATTTTGAATTTTGATCAACAACAAGCTTCCAAACTTGTTGCTTATAAATAGAGGCACTATTTATGAGCTAGAACACGGCCTGAAGCACCCTGAAACACACCAAAACTCCCTCAAGCTATAATTTGCACAAGAAACTCCATTGATGCACAGTCCTGATCTTAAACTTATATCTCTCATTTCCCTCATGCATTTTCCTTCCTAATCAATCATAAAGCTCCTAAACATCAAATACAACTCATCCCCGACACTGTTTCATAACTGTAACTCCATCTTTATCAACCTCCATAATCAAAAACAGAGCTCTGCAAGTTGACTTCTCCAGACCATTTCAGCCATCCATTGCTCAAGCTAATCATTGCATTAACTTCCTGGGAACTTGAGGAAGCTAACCTGATCATTGCAGCACCTTGAATCAAGCTCATTTACATTTCACGATTTCCAGTTTTGAGGTATTTTTCTTGAACTTCTATCTCATTACTTAGGCATTGTTAGGCTTGCATTTTTGAAGATAAAATGTAGACATAATTACCCTGAAACTGTACATATCCACAGATTTCATTTATATTGATTGAGCTTAGAGAATTTTAGGTTTGAATCTCTAAAAATATTTAGGTTAGAATTTGGTACTTTTAGAAATTCCCATTCTTCTTTGATTTATAGCTCATGAC